TCTCACATTCACTACCCAAAGCTGCCCAAGAGGCAAGAATTGGGCTCGGTTCACCTTGCAGGACCACGGCTCTGTAAAGCTTGCATTTTTATACTAACTATGACAACTGCCAAAAAAATATAATAAGAGAGGCGCTGCGAATTTAGCTCAGCGGTATAAGCGCCTGCCTTGCAAGTGTGCGGTCATGAGTTCAATTCCTGGTACCGATTAAAAAAAAAAAAAAAAAATATATATATATATATGGATATGTACACAGTATGGCATAAACTTATCATAGTAATAACAAATGAATCCACAAAGGAAATAAAATTGGTCTAGAGCTGAGTATGGTGGTGCAGGTTGAGGCAGGAGGATCGCTGTGGGTTCGAGGCCAACCTGGGCTACTTTCTGAGTTCAAGGGAGCCTGAACTACACATGAGACCTTGTCTCCCACACCTCACCCCAAAAAAATTGGTTTAGAAACTCATTTTTCAACTTCACGCACTACCATCTGGCAGGGACCTCCAGAATGTCATATCTAGACATTTGTATTTGTTTGTTTGGATTTTTTTTTTTTTTTTGGCTTAGTTTTTTTGAGACAGGGTCTCTTTATGTAGTCCAGGCCAGCTTCGAACTTTTGATACTCCTGCACTGGGGTTACAAGGGTGTGCCACTGTGCCCAGGTGGAATGCCATGCCTGACATTTGATTCATCAAGAAAACTATGTCCAAGTCTATCCCAGGGACTTGGGATCATTTCTTTCTGTAGCAGAACACAATCTTGTACCACCCCATGTCAGAGAGCTGCAGCTGAGCCATCGGCTCTGATTATTACCGTCTGCAAGGAGAGGGATGGCTCACCTCATTGGATGTATTGGAGTCAAGTCCGGGGTTGAACCCTTGTCTACATGACTTTACCGCCTGGCCGCTCAGCTTCCTTATCTGGCAAATGGGCCTGAGAGCAACACCTGTCTCACCTGATGCTGGCAGGTTGAACAGACACTGAGCACTTGGTGTCTGGGACAGCGGTAATCAATGCCAGAAATCACAGTGCTTATATGAAGTTAGCAGTCCGGAAAAATCTTAACAGTTATTTGACAGATGAGTAATTGGAGGCTTGGAGTTTGACTTTTTGGCAATAAAACAAAGATGGGGAACAGGAGTGTCGACTTTGTGCCTGCTGTGTTATCAGATGTTGATGTGGGGGTCCACCTGGGACCCTTAAACCCCACCTGGCCTCCTCCTCATTCCACCAACAGCAGCCTGAGCCAGTGGGGGGAGGTGACCCTCATGAAGCCCATCCCTGGGAAGGGCACCCCCCTTTCTTTCCTCAGAGAGCGAGCTGAGGCCCAGAGATGGGAAGGAGCCTGGGTTTGTGGTGTCAGAGCCAGGAAGAAAGATCTGTAGCCCTGAGGCCCTGTCCGATCACCTTCTGTTCCACCTGGAGGGTTTCTAACCTCAGACTTAGAGCCTGGCTTTCTCTACCCTGATGCATACACATGGGCTCCCGGCCCAAGGCTGCGGCAGTAAAGGGGGCCAGTCCTGGGGTGCCAGGCCCACCCTCAGATGCCCTGGTCCCACTTAATCAGCACCAGGAGGGGAAATGAAGAAGGCACAGAGTAGTGGAGAGAGTACTCCAGAGTCTAAAAGGCCTCACATCTGACTTCCGTCCTCCGGGCCTCAGGTTCCTGCCCCGTACATGGGAACCATGGCACTGAGCTCCCAGGGGGTTTGGAGGACTCTGCTGAATACACACTATCTATCTGTAGAAGGAAACGGAAGACACTGAGGGCTGCTAGCTACAAGGAGGGAAGGAGACTCACTTTTCACCCTGTTGAAATCATACACGAACTTGCACATTCAAGAGATTGAGCCTAGGGCCTGTGCGTGCAAGGCAAGAACTCCCCCCCTGAGCCACATGCCCAGCCCCAGAACAGTACCTGGTACTCAGTCATCCCCACCCCACCGTAGTAATAACAACTGAGTTACATCCAAGGCCTGCAAATTCAGTTACAGTCCCAGCCCTTTTTTTGATATTGAGACAGAGTCTTGCTAAATTGCCCAGGCTGGCCTCTAATTTGTAATCTTCCTGCCTCAGGCTCTATAGTAGCCAGGATTATAGGCATATAGTACTGTAGATATTGATTTTTTTTTTTTTTTTTTTTTGGTACCAGGGATAGAACTCACAACCACATGTTTGCAAGGCAGGCACTTATGCCGCTGAGCTAAATCCCCAGTCCCTGATATTATTTTTATAAAGTTATGATGGCCAGCATATATGAGACCTAGGCTCAGTCCCCCCCACAATAAAAGAACAGTTGTGATACACAGCCCTCCTGGCTTCACCTCAGTTCATCACTGTCAAATCAAACCTTCAACCTCCAGAGCCAGGTGGTGGAAAAGCGGGCTGAAGACTTGGGTTCGGGTCTTTTATCCTCCTTTTTCTAGCAGTGTGGCCTTGGGTAAATTGCTGTGCCTCTCTTTCCTCAGTTCTACAAGGAGACTGTGGGCTGGAGCTCACTCAGAGGAGCAGTGTTTGTCTAGCATATGCAGCCCCTGGTTGGCTAGACAGACAGACAGACAGATAGATAGATAGGTAGATAGAGGAGGCCTTCAGGATTTAATGAGATCAGAGCTGAATGCAAGCGAGCACATCCGATGCCAGGCTTGGCTCTCACCACTGTGCACACAGGGCTCAGCACCTGCGCAAGAGGAAATGCCCCATCTCTCCCATGGTACAGGGGAGGACAAGGAGCTCTGGAATGGGAAGTCCAGCCACGAACGCAGGCATCTGGCTGTAGAATTAGTGTCCAAAACTCCTACACTTCCTGCCCGTCTCTCCTGTGCTTGTGGCATACTTCGAGAATACCTGGGAAAACCTCCCTGGACATTATAACTGGGATTGATTTTGTGGGTATTTTTGCAACACCTGTTGTTGTTATGAGGCAGGGTCTCCCTGTTTAGTGCAGGCTGGCCTTAAACTTGCCTAGGTAGCCCAGGCTGTCCTCAAACTCACAGTGATCCTCCTGCCTCAGCCTCGGGAATGCTGCACCACCACTCCAGGCTGCTGGGGACTGTCACTGATACACACGGGGATCTTTCCAAAACCACCGGGTTAAACACTTTGGAACAGGACCATTGACCCTCACAAACACCTTCTGGGGGCAGGATTCAGTACCCCACGGCCTGAGAGACTCTTGCCTCAATTCTCTCTCAACTACAAATCCCATAGCCCACCTTGCAGACCCAGGTCAATGAGCATTCATTCCTCACACCCTTCCTCTCCCCTGCTGATTCTGGTGGCTTCTGGTTTAGACACCTTCAGGCGACTTAAGGAAGCCTGGTGGGGGCGGTGCTGAAGCTTCGTTGCTAGGCAGTTAGAGCTGAGGTACCTCCCCCAAATCCCGAGTCCCGAGCCCCCACAGCCAGAGACTGTTAGACAACCCGCGCCACGGAGAGCTGCGCCTCCTCGCAGTCAATGCGCACAAGGGCACCTGCCAACAGGGGGCGCCTCATCCGCCTCCACTCACTGAGTACTGGGACTCCGTTGATGAGCACCCCCACGCACAAGTGTGTGCCACACATTTATTCACACACTTCAGACTCAGCACCCAGTTTTCCCCACACTGGAACCCATTTGGGTGAGGGGGATGGTTCCAGGCCATCATGGATAACGCACCAAACATAATCTGCTTATGAATAACTGAGCTTATTGTTAGTGTCAGTGTCTAACGCCCTGGGCTGAAATTCCAAATAGATTTCTAAGGAGAGGAAGGCCCTTGGGAAAAGTGGCTCTTGGCTTCATTTTCCACTGTGCTTTGCAGTATTCACCAGCCAGCCTTCTTGGGTTCCTCCTCCAGCCACCTCACCTCAACCGACACACAGTACAAAGAACTTCAATTTAGGGATGGAGGGGTGAGCAGAAGTAGTTTTAAGAAGTCAGTATTCAGCTGGGCTTGGTGCTGCACACCTGCAATCCCTGCACTCTGGGAGGCTGAGGCAAGACAATACCAAGAAGTTTGAGCCCAGCTTAAGCAATTCAGTGTCTTAAAAGGAGCAGGAGGAGGAGGAAGAGGTGACCTAACAGACGTAGTCAACACTCCCCAGCTCCAGCAATGAGCCACTCTGTGAACCACCTCAAGGGAGCAGCTGTATTTAAGGCCAAAATCCAGCTGAGGTCATACCAGATCTGGAAATCCTCCCACGCCACACACTTTTGGCTCCCAGGGAGGCCCTGCCTAGAAGCCGCCAGCTTCATACTGTCCCAGAGAAGTGACTCAGTAGACTGTCTCCTGCCCCGCTCAGGCGGTGAGACCTGGGCAGGCCTTGATGCTGTGGTGCCCACCCAGCAGAAAATGTGCCCGTCCAGACAGTGGCTGGAGCGCCACAGACCTGACCAGGAGATAAGGGGCTTGCTGAGCCACATCTGTGGGCACATGTCCTGGGCCAGACTAGGGGAAGTCATGTAGCACAGTTATGGAGCACAGCTCAGCAGCAGCCCTGTTCTGGGGCAGGTCTGCAGCTGGGTGGACAATGAGACACAGAAGAGGGGGCAGTGTCCTCCTCAAGGGGGACGGAAACAAACTGGACTAGAAGTCACCTTCCTCCTCATGCAGTCACCAAAGCACTTCTGGCCTTGGAACAGACATCTGCCCTGACAGATACCCACCGAGAACTCCTCAGGATCTTTAGGACACACTCCTTAAGAAGCTTGCCATTGGGCTGGGGATTTAGCTCAGAGGCATAAGCGCCTGCCTTGCAAGTGCATGGTCGTGAGTTCAATCCTCGGTACCAATTAAAAAAAAAAGAAGCCTGCCATCTGCAACAGCAACCAGACCACATCTGCTAAGCCACTGTCCACTCTCTGTGCCCATCTTACGTGGGCTGGTGTTGAGCAAATACCTGTCTTCCTGTGGCTATGACCATGACCAAGCAGGCGCCTGTGGCAGGGAGTGGGAGGCAGGGTTTGGGATATCTGGGACCCAGGAGAGGTAGGTGTCCCCGAAGTGCTCAGACTCTGACCTGTATCCTGTCTTCCGGCAGCTCCGTTTTCATAGCCAGCATCTCCCGGGCATAGACGTCTGGGTAGTGGGCCTCATTGAATGCCTTCTCCAGCTCCTCCAGCTGGTAGGAAGTAAAGATTGTCCTGAAGAAGCAAGGTGGGACACTCAGGAACACTGAGAAAGCCTGCCTCAGCGCAGGATGGCCCTTCCCACCCCACACCTCTGGAAGGGCCCCAAGCTCCCACAGTCTCTCTCTCCATCTCTCTCTCTCTGTCACATACACACATGTACCACATGTACATACACACATACTTTGGTGGCATTGTTTCAGTCCTTGGTGACATTTCACATTGAGAGTCTTTCTGAGGGAGAGGGTGCCAGGGAGGACATTTTTAGAGGACTGGACAAAACCCCTGCTTGGGCATGGACAGGAGGCTTTATGAGACAAAAACCCCAGCCCCACCCAGCCAGCCTCCTGGCTGCTCCAAGAGGCTACAGCCAATTTTAAATCCACTCAAACTTTGAAGATTCACCAGAAAGCAAGCGAGATGCAGCTCCCACCTCAGTGCTTGTACAGCGGAGAAGGGACTCTCACCCCTAAGCCCACCCTACGCTCTTCCTCCTTGCCTGCCCCCTGCCACACTCAGTCAGTCACTAGCTGTCTAGAGCTGTCCTTCCTCTGTCCCCTCTGTGCTCCAGAAGTGAGAGCCTCCCAACATATCCCACACGCAGATTCAGATTAACCCATGCACTGGGTGGAGGTCCCCAATAAGCCGCCCTGCCCCCCACAGAGCAGTTCTATTGACCTATTTTGTGTCATAAACTGATTTTGAAAAATCCGCAGAAGCTCCCTTCACAGGAAGTAGCTCAATGGTACAGCTCCTGCCCGGAACCCCCAAGGCTCTGGGCTCAATCCCCAGGAAAGAAAGAAATAAACAAAACTCTACATTTTCTCATCCTCAAAAATTGTGCAAATTAGTATGTTCCAATAATAAAATCTCACCTTCAATATTAGGGAGTTCAACAACTCCTTTTCTTTGATAAACTGCTGAACATCCACTGACAGACAGACATAAACTCTTCCCTTTTCGGACCTTAATTTCACCAGATTTTAGGTGACCTTAATCCCGTGGCCCCATCCACAAGCCAACCGACAATACATCCGGTTTCCAGATCGCACTCATCAAAGTGGTCAATCCCTTGCTAGACCTCCTGGGATTTTGACTCTGGGAGCAGCACAGGGGTTCGGAGTGCCTTGCCCCACACGAGGAAGAAACACAATGTAAGCCCCGCATGCTCCTGGTGCTGGTGTCACTTCAGTATCACAGGGACCATGGGGTGGGGTAGGGAAGAAGGATCGTGCCCTCCACAGCAAACGGCTGGTTTGAATGGACATTGGTCTGCCTGTTCCTGCCAGGGGGATCTGTGGAATTCTGCCGCACCTAGAGAGTTAATGCTTCAGCATTTTGAAAATCCGCTGTTTTCTAAGTGTTCTCCTGCCACTTATGGAAGGGCTCCTGGGCAGATCACTGAAACGAACAATCAAAATACGCAAGTCCTTTTCCAAACCAGGGAGACTGAGGCATAGAGGTAGTATAGAATTGCCAATGTTAAAGAGGCAAGCTGATTATAGTCCCTATTCTATACAAAAGAAAAACAAACCTCAAATCCCCCCAAACTTCCCACATACCCAACAGGTCCCCATGTTGTTGATGACTTTTCCAGGGAGGTCCCTCTGAGCCCTCATGTGACCCAAACTCTGCTCCTGCCTTAGGCAGAACCCCGACCCTTTGTGGCTTGTATCAATCTACTGAGGGGCTGAGCTTTCCACAAAGAGCAAAATCTCAGGGAGCTTCACTGTGGCTGCTCCATCCCCACGCCCGTGCTTAACCCCGCTAAGTCTGGTCTTCTCCATCTCTCAACACCAGATTCCAGGGGCTCCCACTCAAAACTCCAAATGAGAGACGCTCTGGGAAATGCATTTTTTACTGATTAAATGCTGCACCGAGGGGCTGGGCTGTATAGCTCAGTGTTAGATCACTTGGTGAGACCCTGGGTTTGATCCCCAGCACTGCAGAAATAAAATAAAATAAAATATAAACAAATAAATTTTAAAAAGAAAAACCAGCACCAGTGGTCAGTAGCCTCTCTGATAACCCTCCCCTTCACACCCCAGGAACAGACAGAAACCAGAGCCACCCGCCACTGGGAGTGAGGTGTTGTTCTGTGCCCCCAAGAATCAGCCCACCACAACCCCTAAAGTTTTTCCTGGCAGATGAGGTCCTCGGGCAAGGACTTTGGGGCAGGGGTTGCCAGCTGCAAGTGACACACAGCTGTCGGGATGCCATTCTGATATCTGGGGTTTGGGGAGATTTCTCCAGGGCTCTCCACACTAGGCAGACCCCTCCCACCTAGTCCACCCCGTTTGAGGGGCAGTACCCTCCACCTCCTTTCTGCTTGGCCAGGCTGACACTACCTGCCCAGGGACCAGCATAAGACAGATGCAAAAGAGGTGTTTTCTTGAATATTCGTTGAATGAGTGAGTATGAAAAAGGAACAGACTAATAAAATAATGTTTCCGTTTAAAATAAAACACAGGGATCTGAAGCGAGCAGTTCCTGGAGGGAAGGAACCAAGTCCCATTCACCTTCCTTCAAGCCAGAAGCTGATGAGGACAGAGAGGTCTGGAGGGACTTTTTTGTTTTTTTAAGAAAATGGTGAAGTTTTTGAAGGCTAAGGAGAAGAGGCACAGAAATGCGCAAAGAGAGGAGGTGCGAAGACAAGAGTACAAACTGGGGAGAGAAAAGAATGCGGCGGGGCGGGGCGGGGAGCCCCCAGCACCCCACGGGGCCATGTCTCCAGAGCCAGGGCCTCTGCGCCCCCCACCCGAGTTGGGGCAGAGAGAGGTGGGAAAACAATCGCTTGGCCAGCACAAGAGCAGCACTAGCAGAAAGGCAGGCAGGTGTTTGGTTCTTGTTCTTTTACTTCCTAAAACCTCATGAATTTACACAGGGAACGGGAAGCAGAGTGCCGAGCAGGAAGGGAACGGGGATGGGGCCTCCGGGCTTGGGGACGGTGAGTCCCTCTTTAGGACGCACCTCTCAGGACCCTTGGAACCCTAACGTCCTGCAAGCCCTGTCTACTTACAGACGTGGTAACAACTTTCCCTTTAGTCTACACCCCAGCGCGGCCCACCCCACTCGAGTTAGGGCTGGCGAGGCCACTCAGTGTCCCCCCACACACACACCCTATTACAGACCGGGAAACTGAGGCCCACGAAAGGTGCAATCCGCTCAGAAGCACAAAAGAAAGCAAAAACCAAAAGAAACACATTGCACCGTGCAGACATCACCCAAGCTTTGGGGAAGCGCGAGAGAAGGAACTGGGGAGTTGGCAGAAATTACAGGGGTCGCCGAGAGGAATTGGGGTGGCAGAGGGAGAAGGCAAAGGACTCGGCTCGAGCTGAGGTGAGAGCTCTGCGTGGCTCTGGAAAGCACAGCTGCGGGGACGTGGGGGCCGCCAGCCCCTCTCCCGCTCCGCTTTGGCCGGGGCCTCTCTTTTCTCCTGCAGAACCAGGAGGAGCCCGGAGGTGCGGCTGTCAGGCGGCCACTCAGCCTCCTCTGGCGGCTGGACGCCCGGGCCCCCGCGCAGAGTCCTGCACACGACGCCCGCCTGCGCCCCGCTGCAGCCCAGGCCGGCACTCGTGGGGTCCCTGAGCACGCCGGAGCCGGGGCCGCAGGAGGGTCGGATGGGCAGCGGCTGTGACGGATGAGGGGCGCCCCAGGGCCTTACCTGTGCCGCCGCTTCTTCCGTTTCTTGGTCTGGTTTAGAGCTGATTTGGACATTTTCCGGTCACTGGAGGAGACATCTTCCGAATCTGAAAAGCGGGCGCACGGACATGCAGCGGAATGGGGAGCGCGCTCCGCTGCGCCCGGGCCCGCCGCCTGCCCGGGCAGGTCTCCCCGCAAGCCCTCCGGGACCCCGTCACGCAGCCCAGCCGGACCCCAACTGGGTCGGCGCCTGAAATTTTAAACCATCTCGCTGCAAGACGGGCAGAGGCCTTGGCGCGCTGGGGGGACGGCTCAGGGGTCGCGGGGACTCTCTGGGCGCTCCGGGCGCTGCGCCCTGCCCTGCGCTGGCAGCCCTGGCCGCGAAGTTGGCCCTAAAGAGAGAAGAAGCCCTGTCGCGGGGCACTGGGCTCTGGAAAGGTGAGGAGCTGCCAGGTCACTGTCCCTGCCTCGGTGCCCACACAATGCGCTCCCGCCGGAGGCCCGGAGCCTGCGATGCGTCTCTTTTCGTTGCTCTTCCAAACAAAAATAATAACGAAACAAAACGAAAAATGGAGGGAGTTGCCGAGGGCTCAGAAAAGTCGGTGGGTCGAGAGATCCAGGACGCGTCGCCAAGAAAGTGTCCTGGGAGGGCGCGGCGAGGACATCGCGGGCCCGCCCGCGAAGCGCCCGGATCCGATTCAGTGTGGCGCCCGCAGGGCTGGGTGGCCGCCGGGACCCTGGCGGCCTGGCTTTTCGAGTTTGCAGGGGTAAAAAAGAGCCCAGCTGACAACGCGGGGAACTGGAATGCAGAGGGGCGAAGGGGGGAAATGACAACTTCGGACACCAGGACACCGGGCCAGAGGCGGCACCGGCTTCCAGGGCCCCCGCGCGTGGGCCGTCAGCGGGCTCCCCAGGCCCGGGCCGCCGCGGAGCTGGGGACCAGCAGGGCGCCCGGAGACCTCTGCGCTACGGCCCCGACACCCCAGTATCCGGTGGGCCCCCGAGGGGCGCTGCGGCAGAGCCTGGCCGGACGCGGGGTCTCAGGAACTGCGCATCGTTCAGAAACGCCGGGGCGGAAACCTGGCGGGCGCCGCAGCATCCTCCGGGCCGCGGGCTGCAGGCCCGGCCGGGCTGCGACCCCTCCGCCTGCCTGCACGAACTTTGCCGCCCCGAAGAGCCTTGTCCGGCACGGAGAGCCGACGGCTCGGGGCTCCCGGCCTCGCTCGCGCAGTCAGGCAGCCGCGCAGCTTTGCCCTCACCTACCCGAGCTGGCCGTCTGGCTGGTGTCCAGCGGCCCCGATGCTCTGCCCAGTGGCTGCAAGTGGACGCTCTGAGGGTCGGACAGCACTTCCAGGAAGGTGGGCTGCGCGTAGAAGCCGGGGAGCCCCCCGGGGCCCAGGAGCCCCATGCTGCCCACTCCTGCAGGGCTGAGGACCGAGCGCGCCGCCAGCAGGTGCCCGGGGGCCAGGCCGTCGAGGGCAGCGCGCGGGTGCGAGCTGGGAGGCTCCTTGTTCAAGCCCAGGATCTCCTGGATGCCAAACCCTGTGCACCTGGCCGGGGCTCCCCCCGAGGCACTCTTGGCCACTGTCTCGGATTTGGGCTTGCTCAGCGCTTCCCCCGTTTTCCCCGTCATCTCCTGGTTCTTTGGAGGGGCTGAGGCCGCCGGTCTTCGCTCCCCCCACCCCCCGCCGGGCTCCCCGCTTCGGGAAGTTGGTCCCAGGTGCCCCCTCCGGTGTCTAATGCTCTGGAGCCCCAACGAGATTCCCCTTTTATCCAACCAGGCGGCAGCCCAAGTGGGGTCAGAGCTGAACAGCCAATCACCGGGGCCAGGAGCGATTAGGAATTCCAAAAAGCTGGCAGCTCCAGGCGCAGGCAGCGCAGAGGGGCCCAGGCGCAGCGGGCGGGCCTAGCGCCTGTGGACTCTGCGGGATGCCCTTGGGCAGGGACCGGGGTGGAACCCCCCAGGTGGAACAGGAAGATTCAAATCTCTTCCGGAAGGCCGAGTGGGACTCTGAGCATAGCCTGGCTCAGACCCACCTGTCTCTGGTGGGGTGGGTAGGAGGATGGGCTAAGGGCAGAGGCTAGAGACAGCCACACAGACGCCCAACGTTATGTGGGGCCCTGGTAAAAGGTGAAACAAAGGAGGAACAGGGCCATGGTGGCAGTGGGCATAAAAGAAGGCCAAGGTGTGGAGAGGGAGATTGAGGTGGGGCTTGTCACGCTTTCCTTCCCCACACGGGATGCAATGTCTAGTTCAGAAGGACTCTGCACCAAACACTGGCCCAAGGAATAAATGTGTAATAGAGAGGGGCAGGGTCCCGGCAGGGAGGAGCCAGGATGACTCTGGGGAGAACATCTCTCTAGAGCAAGCATGACCTAAGACTTTATTTGCCACCTATTGAGCACCTAGTAGCTCTGAGCCAGGGGCCAGGTGGTTCTGTAGTCAGTCAGACAGGAGGCAAGGGCCTGCTCTACGTCAGAGTTCATTGAGCAAACGGAATGAAGAAGCCAGGACTGTTGGGCTGGAGGGAGGGGAAGAGGAGGAGAGGTTCTGCAGCTCAAAGGGAAGCTGCTCCTCCTAGCTGAAGACCCTTTGGCCATCTCCTGCCAAAGAGCAGGGAGACAGTATTGGGAACCCTTCTGGCGATGGGACCTTGGCCTGGACTTCAAAGATGGCAGGGGGCTCTGCTGGTTTCCCACAATGCCCCTGACTGAGGGCTCAGAGGACTGTGTCATGGCGAATGACACAGGTGAATACGTGCAGAACAATCGTCCTGAATCCCTGCACTCCCCACAATAGCTCCACTGTGACCTGCCTGGAGCCAAAAGCTGTCTTTATTTTGCGTTGTTTTGTTTGTTTTTATTGGTGTTTTGTTTTTGAGACAGGGTCCACTATGTAGTCCAGGCTGGCCTTGAACTCATTATGTCTCCCGGCTAGTCTCAGACTCTCGGTGCTTCTCCTGTTCCAGCCTCCCAAGTGCTGGGATTACAGTTGTGTGCCACCAGGCCCAATTTACTTTGTTTTGTTTTTTGAAACTGGTTCTCACTGTGTTGGCCAGGGGCCTTGAACTTCACAGGGATTCTCCTGCTTCAGTTTCTCAACTACGGCGGGGGCTACAGAGGCACATATTCCCATATCCAGCTCCGGGAGGTTGCAGGGGTTTTTGTTTTCTGTTTTCCCCAGCATTGGACTGGGCCTTCACACTTCCCTGGTCCTTTCTTTCTTTCTTTTTTTCTTTTCTTTCTGTTTTGAGACACTGTTGCTAATTTGCTCAGTTAGTCAAGGAAGTCTGTAGTGGTATATGCCTATAATCCCAGCACATGGAAGTTGAGGCAGGAGGATCACAGTGAGTTTGAGGCCAGCATGAACTATTTAGTGAGACATTGTCTTAGAAAGAAAAGAAAGAAAGAAAGAAAGAAAGAAAAAATTACTTAAGATAGTCTCAAATTTGTGACCCTCCCAGAATGCTGGGATTACTCGTGTATACCACCAGGCCTGGCCTCAAGTAGCTTTTTTTTTTTTTTTTTTTGGTCTTTTTCATTTTTATTGGTACCAGGGATTGAACTGATGACTGCCTGCTTGCAAGGAAGGCGCTTATGCCGCTGAGCTAAATCCCCAGGCCCCTCAAGTAGCTTTTAATTCAAATAGGTTTTAATAAAGATTTCTTGCTAGATTTGATGGCACACACTTATAATCTCAGCACTTAGGAAGCTGAGGCAGAAAGATCACCATAAATTCTGAGCCAATTTGGACTACATAGTGAATTCAAGGCCAGCCTGAATTACAGAAAGAGGCCCTGATCCTCAAAAACAAACAAACAAACAAACAAATAGAAACAATAAATGTGTTTTACCAAACATGGCAGCACACACCTATAATCCCAGCACTCAGGAGGCTGAAGCAATCAGATTGCTATGAATCTGAGGTCAGCCTGTGATACATAGTGAGTTCAAGGCCAGTCTGGACTACAAAATGAGACCTTGTCTCTAAATAAGTAACTGAGTAAATAAATAAATAAATGTTTCTTGACTTGAAAACACGCTATGAGTGGAGCTAAGAAGCCATCAGTTGCTTGGGGCAGAGATTAGAAAGCGGGCTGGGAAGAGATTTGCATCTAGGGTTTCTAGCCAGTCAGCTGCAACCCCCACCCACCCCTGGTGGAGAGAAATTCTCTGAGCATCCTTGGTCCACTGCTAAGGTGTCTAGGACCCTCTGTGGCCACCGTGGAGCCAGATGTGAGGTAAAGGAAGGAGACTGTGGGAGTGGGAACTAGGCCTTGGTACAGTTCACAGGAGAGCTGGATGAGGCTGGGCACTGCGCATCCCCTCCCATTACGATGCCATGCTGCTTCACTGTGGACCTACTTTGTCCCCCGGTCTCTGCCCCCCCCACCCCGCCCCTCATGTTTTTCTCCCTGAACTGAGAATTAAATGCAAGCCCTTCCCACTGAGCTGTTTCCCCAGCCCTTTTCATTCTTTTAGGGAGATGGGGTCTCCTAAATTGCCCAGGCTGGGCCTCCTGCCTCAGACTCCCAGAGTGCTGGCATCACAGGTGTGCACTCCCCACTGGGCTCAGAGCTGCTGTCTTTTAACTGCCCCCCCCCGCCACCTCCTCTCCGTGCCAGCCTACTTGGGAGGAGAGATGGGATGCTATGTCGATGGCATCTGCCATGTCCCTGACTTGTCATGACACAGCCACTGTGAGCCAGATGCCCACCGATGGGCAAGGACATGAGTGATGGGAACCAGTGTGTGAGAGATGGGGTCAGCTCCTGACAGCCCATGCCTAAAGCTCCCAGTTCTCAACCCCAGGGGGACAAGGACAGGGACAACCCCAGGCCCTGTGAGACCTCCTTACCAGAGCTACGGGTGGAGCGAGACCCAGCATTGGCCCACAGGCGCCTTACCCTGGGAACTGGACTCCTGGACTGTCATCAGGTAGGGGTGCTGTCTCTGAGCTTCGGGGTGTCACTGCTCAACTGCAGCTGTTTGACTCAGGTCAGACCCAGGATAAAGCATGGGGAAGCCCTGTGGGGAAAAATGGGCCCCAAGGCTTGGGCTGGGCGTGGGGAAAGGAAATGCACTCTTTCAGAAGCAGTTAGATTCTGGGTCAAGATCAACACCCTGGGTCTGCATGGAGCTGATCAGTGAACTTTTCCCTCAGCTTCTACTGCTTTACTAATAAAATAGCTTCTACCAGGGTCATGGGCGCCCCCTGACCCCCAGAGTTTGCACAGGGATCAAGAGCAGGGACTCTAGAGCCAGACTGCCTGGCTTTAGACTCTTGGACTGTTACTTGCTTGATGACTTTAGGAAAGCGACCCATAAGATGGGGATAACTGCAGAACCAATTCCTCAGAATCCTCATGAAGATTGGAAATGTGCAATGCCAAACGCGGTAAACGAGACTCCCATGCAGTCAGGTTGCAAGACAGGGCGCGGTGAGTGTCCTTATTACCATCGTATGGGAAGACACTGTGCTGGAGCTTACAGCACGGCTGGGAGCAGGATGCAGAATCCCTGACTCCGTGGACAGTGGGCCAGCGGGGGAAGGAGGTGATCTAACATACTGAGCATGGCAGCCGGCCCTCTACTGCTGTTATCAGTGGCTGCTGGGCCCTTTAACACGTCAGTCCACTCAGCTTGTCTGAGAGCTGAGGAGTTCTATTCCTCTTATTAAAAATAAGACATTTTGCTTATAATCCCAGCACTCAGGAGGCTGAGGCAGGAAGAATGTGGCAAGTTCAAGACCAGCCGAGGCTACAAAGTATGCTCAAGACCAGTCTGAACTGCATTGTGAGACCCTGTCTCAAAAAGACTAAAATAAAATAAAATAAACAAAAAGAAAACATCAAAGTTTGGGCAGACTGCAGTGGTGCTGCCCGCCTGCCAGCCCAGCTCTCAGGAGGCTAAGGCAGGAGCATCACTGCGTTTGAAGTGAGCTCAAGGCCGGCGTGGACTGCACAGTGATATCCTGTCTCACACAAGCGATCCTAAAGCTCGGGAGGGAGATCAGGGAAGAAGAGGAAAGATGTCTCTCTTTGCCTTTGTCCTGGTCATTTTAAGCGCCAGTTGCAGCCAATCCATCCTCCCTAGGAACTGTGTCCTTGAGTCACTAAGCAGCTATCAGCAACACATTTTGGGGAGGAGCTGGAAAATGCAGGGAGGGGAAAGATCTGTGTTTGAATCAATAATTCCATTATGAATCTGTCACCCGTTGAATGGGTTTCGCTGCTTTAAATGCTTCCATGGATCTTGCACTAACCTCTTCGAGGGAACTTTGGTCTGGGCTGGACAGTTCTCCCCAGGGACTCAGACAGGCCCAAGGCCCCGCTCTTTCCTTGCTCATCAGACACTAGACTAGAGGCCGATGCTGGGAGAAAGGGCTTTTTCTTTCTTTCTTTTTTCTTCTTCTCTTTTGCTGTTGAGTATCAAACCATTTGAGAGGGATCTTAATTCACTTTTAACTTATATACACTGCACATTAAGTTCTGGACTTCATCTCAGTGAATCTTAGTACCTGGAAAGATGTACACCAATTTTCAAGTAAGGAAGCAACCTCAGAGAGACGGTGATCTCCCCAAGAACACACAGCTGCCAAGGGCCAAGCCGGAGTCCAAATCGACTGCATCCTTGTTTTCCTGAAGATGGAACCATAGCACCCAGTGGAGGAGGCGGTCTGGGATGTCCAGAGGCAAGCAATGCTCCCAAAATGCTTGAGCTGCCAGCTTTC